CATGACCCGAGCCGAAGGCAGACGCTTAACGACTGAGCCACCCAGGCGCCCCTGGAGAAATTTTATTTTATGGTCTATTGCTTGTGTTCTGAGTAAGATGACCTAATTTCTTTCCCTTTCAAAAATGAGAGTAGAGCTTTAGTGTTCCCACCATAACAAGAAAGCAGCAATTATGTGAGGTAGAGGATGTGTTGTCTAATCTTATTGTGGTAAACACTTTGCAATGTATACTTGTATCAAATCATCACACCGTACACCTCAGATTTCCACAATGTTAGATGTTAATTAAGCTGGAAAATCAATAAAGCTGGAAAAAAATGCTTGAAAATTATTGCTATATACCTTACTTTATGAATAAGTATTATATAGAAACTCTGAATCACAGTACTAATTTTTAGTAAATTTGCTACTGGTTCAGAAGTTAATTCCTCCCAAGTATAGTCAGGCATTATTTTCTGGGTTCACTAACCTGTGTTAATTTTTTTTTTTAAATGTAATTTATTTATTTCAGACAGAGAGAGAGAGAGCACGAGCACAAGTGGTGGGGGAGGGGCAGAGGGAGAGGCAGACTCCTGGCTGAGCAGGGAGCCTGACATGGGGCTCGATCCCAGGGCCCTGGGATCACGACCTGAGCCAAAGGCAGCCGCTTAACCCACTGAGCCACCCAGGCACCCCAATCTCTGTTAATTTTTAAGAACACACTCAGCATTGTCTTAGGAGTAAGGACCGCCTCACTTGAGGAAAGACAGCCTGCTTGGTAGTACCGGAAATTTCACCGGGTCTTTACATCAGCTGTGTCCTCTGAGGAAGCATAAAAGGATGGGAAGAAAATGGGCTGCTGATGTCTGCGTAGAAACTTGAGGAACTGGATGTTATTCTGCTCAAATTCATTTTCTTCCCAATTTGTCAAAATGGGTGTCTACTGCAGAACATATAGCTAGCTTAGATCTTAGCGGAGTGTTTTTTTTTTTTATTTTAAAATGTTGCAAACAATTCACTTGAGATGCTAAGTTGTACTTACTAATGCATGCCAACAGAAATGATCCGTCTCTCTTCGAGGGAAAGAGGCAAGTGCTGAAATACTCTATACAAGGGGCCAGAATTAATAGTGGTAGGGTGTTGACGACATTCATTACTGCAACTGGCAGAAGAAATCCATCCAAATTCCGGTTGGAATTCATGGTCTGCACATAATATCCTGAAGGAATCTGTATTTGAGGGGGAAAGCAGCCAGGCATTAAGAGAGTGGCTTAACTCTGGAGAAAGCATCTTGCAGCAGACGCTTTGCCCCGTGCAAGTACTCTGTGACAGATGATCAGGATGCTCCCCAGATCTTCAACATCCCAATTATGAGCTGACAAAGGGAAGTATGAGCTCTGTTTAGTCTATTGACAATACTACTGATTCTTTAGGGAGGAATCTTTTGTCATCCCGTCTAACTTCTTAATTTTCCTATGGAAAGTAAAGATGACCCTAATTTTGTGCTTAGGATGACACATAAAAAATCAAATAACTGACTAAAACAATACAACTTTGCGTCTAAGCAAACAGACTTCTCCCTGAAGCAGTAAGTTAAAAGCCAGTAGAAGGTATTAAAGATGTTTGTTTTTACCCTGATGAAAATAATTGGGGGCTAGAAAAAATCCTTTGTATAGCATCTAGTTTGGTGGCAAAACAGGTAGGAATGATCTTTACTAAGAAGAGGGGCCCAGTGTAGAAACACAGTACTTGTCATAGGCTGTCTTTGTTGGCTCCTTGGATAGGCTTCACTTCTAAAATGAGCCAAGTAACACGAAAGAAGAAAAACAAAATATACTTGTGTTTACACTCTCGTTTTAAACTAAGTGTGTGACTCTAGTGGACCATAAAGGAAACTGTGTGAAAAACGTTTGCATAATAAACTAACAGATAAGAAATGAAAAACTAACAAACAAAATCCCCCCAAAGCCAAAACAAAGAAAACCTCTATCCCATCCCAAACCCTCAGTGTAGTGTCAGAATTTCTTCATTTTTAAAATAACCCTAATCCTAACTAAAAGTGTAACCTGAACTTGAAGTCTCTTCAAGTATTCCAAACCTCTTGTTAAAAAGCACAGTGTCACAGGAAAGAGGGCATCTCTTTGCTTTTCTAGTTTGTGAACTTGGTTGCAATCACTCATCATTATCACTCACAGTGCATAGTATTTCTTTAATTCCCAGTGGAGAACAAAACTGCTAAGTCACTTGGAAAGGAAGGCAACCTGAGTCTTGTCCTTAAGGAATGGATTCTCCAAACCATTTTTTCTTGCTGTGCGTGCACTACGTTTGGATTTCTGCCTTATCGCCATATTGGGAGAGCAGCCCTGCTCAAATATCCAGATGATAACTTCCTGTTTGAGACTTTTCACTGACTCCTCTGTCATCCGTTGTACAATTTGAGAGGGTATAAGAAGAGTCAGAGTCATAAGTACAGTTGTCAACGAGCCCACCACTTGTAAAATGAGCCCCTTGCTATGTTAACTACCTAAACCCAGGAATGGACTATATTTTCACATTCTATCTATATAAAATTTGTCCTGGTGTTAATTCATCTTCCAATCTTTAATGTGGCCTTTAGGATTATAAACAAGGATTGCTTTGGTTGGGTGCAGATGGCAAGACTGAAGGGAACATTAGCTAGTTCTGCCCTACTTCTATAAAATTATTAAGCATGTATCCTCCAATCAGAGGAAAATGAATGATGTTTTTAAAAAAAAAGTGCTGGCAGCAGATCTGCTCAAAGACTAAAAGGCTCGCAGCATAACTTGGAAGTTTCTGTTACTGATTTCAAATGAGAATTATTGTTAATAAGAATAAAGTTATTATCGGCATGAATCACAGACACAGAAACCTGTTAACTTAATAATGTGGCGAATGTACTATTAATCTTTAGTGAAGCAATATTAATATATTGCCTAATCTAAGAAAAGGCTCCAGTGTCTTGAAAGCTTGAAATCATTTCTGCTTCTGCCTCAAGTTCTGAAATCATCCCCTTTTAAAATTTTAAATACTTTTATTTCATGCAAGCCTCTGAGTATTCAGAAATAATTGCTGTCAATAGAGATTAATTTTCACCTTTGAGTGGCCAGTAATGTCAAATGGCAACATCATCCGCCTTAATATCAACATATTTTAAATGTATGTCTTGGAACTGAAGGTCAATAATGGCTACTAAATTTAAAATATGGAATTCAAGGATGTTTTATTCTTTGTACTTTGATCGCCTTTATGCTGGTGATTATTTCAACTGAGGGTAAAAATCTTATTTCAGCCTTATCCCATTGGAAGTTTCTTCTGCCTCCCTTGAGAAGTACATTCTGAACTTTTTTTTTTTTGGAATTTTCTGGCATAACATTACTGTGTATAATTTTGGAACCTATATGTCTGTTATCAGGGATTTTTAACCCAGCTGCAAGAGAGGCATTGTGGGTAAAAACAAACCGTGGGTGTTGATAACAGCACTGAGTTGGGATGCCATATATTAGTGGGGTGACTGCAAGCAAGTTACAGGTTACTTCATGTCTCTGAGCCACAGATTTAGGATCGTAATAACAGCCATGGTAAGCGTGCTGTGAGGATTAAGTTAGATACTATGAAGTCATCTTTTAGGAGCTATGACCCATATAGGTGATTAGTAGTTTTTGTTCTTTGCAATACCTGGGCATCTAGATTTGGTGAGATAGTTAAAATTCAGTTTATTGAAATTTATGGTAATTTATGTCAAATTAAAAAATTTATGACAGTTTGCAGAAAAGACTCAAATTTAGTCAAAAGAAATAGCGAGTGTCACTGCATTACGAAGATAAAGAATCAGTAATTTGTGCTATTTGCACAGAAGGTTCGAGGCTAGCTATGGACTACTTAGTAATTTTGCACTTATTATTAATTTTGCCCTTTTAAGATGCTCTTTATGACTTTAAAGATTATATACATGGGTAATATTTTTGTGTTTTTGTGCTGGCTCCTACTGTGGAGTCAGGAGAGAGGTTGAATCTGCTAAATTAACCGAGCTTTTGTGCGGTGTTTACAGCAAGGTTCTTGGCAAACTTTTTTGCAAAGGGCCAGATAGAAAATATTTCCACATACTGATTCTATTGCAACCACTCAACCCTGCTGTTTTCATGCATCAGGAGACATAGTATGAGAAATAAACAAGAATGGCTGTGTTCCAATAAAACTTTATTTATTGGCCCTGAATTTGAATTTGATTTTCATGTGTCATAAAATATTTTTCTTTTGATTTTTTTCAAGCATATAAAAATTTAAAAACCTTTTTATCTTGCAGGACATTCAAAAAAAAAAAAAGGAAGCAGCAGCAAGCTGGATTTGGCCTGAAGGCAATAATTTCCTGACCTCTGGTCAGTTAGAGCAAACATTGTCTTAAGAGTCAGCAGGTAGATTTGTTTTTCCTTTCACTATTATTTACTGTGTGACTTAGCTATCCCTTCCAGAATCACTTAATTTTTCTAAGCCTCAGTTTCCTCTTCAACAAATGAAGTAGTTGAGTAAGTTAATCTCTAAGTTTCTTTTTAGCTCTATTGCTCTGAGGTTTGTGAGTATAACTCACTCATTAGCCATCTGAATTTCAAGTTAGCAGCAAATATAGTCCTGAATTTCTTCAAAGACTTTATAGTCACTTATATTTCTTCGTAAGTTTGTCTTTGACCATTATCATATTAAAATTGTTTTTTAATCACATATATTTATAAAAGGTACTTTGGACTTGCTGTTTTACCTCTAATTTCTCCACAGAATAGGGACTGATTCACCAAGGAACTAAGGGGGTGGGGTGGGGAAATAATCACTTGCTCATTAGAACATATACTGAGTACAGGGGAGGTGGTACTTAAATCAGTCAAGTTAGCTACATGTTAGTACGAGATCCCTAAGGCTTAATGAAGGAGGAAGGCAAACCTCTGGCTGAAAAAAAGGTTGGGTAATTGCTCGCAGATCTCATATTTTCGTGCATTGCTCTTATACCTTGTGACTATGCACTCTGAAATATCGTCCACATCTTCTGAAAGACATTTCCAGTTTTACAGGAGAAACAACATACTGGGTTCTCCTCAGGTATGTTCTGCCTGACCCCACTTGCCTCTTGAAATTAGAGCCTGTAATGATGAGAAGCATTTATAGGATAACTGCCTGACAAAGTGTATGAGAAGAGTTTGATGGGGTGAAAATAAATATTTATTTGTAATGTTCACATAAAATCATTTTATATTATTGGGGCAGTACTCATTACCCTTCCTTACCTGCATAATGCATATTCTGTAAAGGAGCTGAAAAATGAAGAGAGGGAGAAGGGTGAAGAAAAGTTTTGTATCTTCTACGTGGAGCTCACTATAGCAACCGCCATTTTTTTTCTTGGCGTGGTCTAACCAGCTTGTCACATCTCCAGCAAGACGGCAATAGCGCAGACAGCATATTTTCAGTGCATTAATAAACACCCCAAAGGTTGTCAGGAGGGAGCAACCTGCAAGTAATTCGAGATATTATGTATTAGTAAAGGAATTGTTCTTCAATTTTCCAAGATGTCCATCAGAAAGATGACATTTGCAAGGATGAAAGGCAGTAAAGTGACTGAAAAGGTTCTAGTACCCAAGAGGTTGAATTCAAAGGAACATGCTTCTGACAAGGGTTCTGGCATCCTGGTGACCAGCCCAAGGTGGTGCCTGACAGCTAATGTAAAAAATGAAAAAGGTAAGATCAATGGGAACATATTAAAAAGGAAAGAAAGGTGACAAAATAAAACACCAAAGTAAGAAATTCCACAATCTCTTAGAAGTCTAACTCATTAATGAATAAGACAACCAGAACTTTCTTTTACAGTCTTAACACAAAGGACTGGTACTATTTCTTCATATAAATGGTTAAATAAATAATCCTCACTTGTCCGGTGGAGGGTGGTTTCTTATTTTGACATGGAGATGAAGCGTGATATATTCTCTGCTTTGACGTTATCCTTGAATTTCAGACGTAAGGTTAAACTTTGAACTCTTCAAATGAGTTTATATGTGTTGATAGTGTCACTAAAAGTTGAGATTGGATTAGCTGGCTTTTGACTTTTCCAGTAGTTTCCTCTGGGTTTATATGGCTGTCACTTAAGCATCCGAAGCATTTTATTGCTTCAGATGTTAGCAGTCACTTACTGCTTGTGATTTGCAACCTCACTGTTGCTTCTTTTATGATTTTTCAGATTCCACCTTTTCTTTGATTCCATTAGGACTTCCTGATACAATGACAGATAAGGGACCCCCCCCCCCAGCTTTGAGTTAGCAGTTCAGCTGTGCCACCATAATTGTTACAATTTTTCATAGTACTCCCTTGACCAAATAAATCCTTCTGCAAATTACATAGACACCAAACCATGGTTGTAGGATAAATGGTATAATAAATGTAAAAATGTTTGAGTTTCTTCAAGGAAGGCCACTGTAGAAATTCAAAGTATAGTTTGATGGTCATTTTGTTTATGTTCAAATTTCCCATAATAAAATTCTCCATGAAATACATTCTAACCAAATTCATATAAATGTGATCAAGTATTGGTTTTTATATTTAAATAAAGAATATTTATTAATATTTCTTTTTATGGTTATAGAGTGACTATATTGATTTGATCTCTTTTAAGAGTTGTAATAGACCTATTATGTCAGCCTTTGATTAAATGAAGAAGCTGGGGGCCTGGTAATTGAATATGAAACCTTTCACCTCTAAGTCACTGAATCAAATCCAGCCCAAATTGGTAGTGACCAAGAGTGATTAAAGCAGTGGCTCTTTGGTGGCCTCTGTGAAGTGTGTTGAGGTCAAGTGGAAGTATGTCAGAATAATTACATCTCCTATGGGTTCATACCTGTGGTCACTATTGCCTCTCCTTAGTCACTACTGCCAGAAAAGCCCAGGGACTGAGAATGCCAAGGGAACAGAAGCCCCTTGTGAGTGGTTGTGTCTCTTAGGAGAGAGGAGGGACATCTTTTTATTATTGCAGGAAGAACTGCTCTATTATGAGACTTTCCTAGCTATTTCAATTAGTTTACTTAAGACTTTAGTAAAATGAGAACTGAGAATGCCTTGATGAACAGTCTGGAGACTGAATTTGAACAGGTCTGGGCTAGGAGGCTTAACTTCCTGACATTTCCTTATGATCTTGTCTCTGTTGCTCATCAGTCTGTTCTCTGCTCAACTTTTGCAAAACAGTGCTGTGTAGATGGGAGGGTTATTACTGGCATTAATCCAACTTACTCTATGCTTTCGAATAGGCTTTATGATGAAGTGATCACTATTCATAGGATGAAAGACTATTTCCAAAGGTATTCTCCCCAATTTCCCCTCTCTTTTTTTAAAATTCAGGTTCTTATATTGAATACATGTTTTGAACCCATCATTCTGTTTTTGTTTAAGCGAATCACTATTTGTTGCAAGATGAATTATTATCTGCTCTTAATGCATGGTAAATTGATACCTGCAATCTTATTAAATAGTTAAATATCTTTATCATATTATTTCTAAAGAGAAATAGTTTAGATTATTGCTTCTTAAACTAGCTGTGTTAAAAAACCATTTTTTTTTAAAGTCTCAACCATTATGGTCAATACATTTTTAAAATAACCATAAAATGTAATACCTAAAGAATAAAACAAAACAAAGACATATAAAATATAAGTCCTAATATTTTTATTATTAGATTCAACAGACATAGAATCTAACTTTCTGTAAATATTTCTACATGTTTTCTCTCAGAGTCTGTATTTATTTTGTTGCATATCAGTAACAAACAGTTCATTGATCAGCACTGCTCCATGGATCAGGCTTTGAGTAGCATTGGCGTCAACTGAATACACACTTTGAAAAATGAATTTTATTTAAACAAGTAAAGTTATATCTGATAGGGTGATATGCAACAACAAAAACAAAATGGTTAAGAGCAAGAAATGATTGAGCATGAATAATAAAATTTTAGCTAGGGTGCCTGGGTGGCTCAGATGGTTAAGCCTCTGCCTTCGGCTCAGGTCATGATCCCAGGGTCCTGGGATTGAGCCCCGCATCGGGCTCCCTGCTCCGCGGGGTGTCTGCTTCTCCCCCTCCTTCCTGCTCGAGCTCTCTCTCACTATCTCTGTCTCTCTCAAATAAATAAATAAAATATTAAAAAAAAATTTTAGCTAGGACAGGGAGGGCACATAATTGATTGCAAATAAATGTGAATATGCAATCATTCATTCATTCAACATACTAAGTACCTACTATGTGCCAAAGGCTTTTAGGGCCCTGAGAATATAATAGTGAACAAGACCCACAAATCCCTGAGTTTTCTTTCTGGTGGAGGAGACACTAAACAAGCAGAAAAATATTAGGCAAGTTCAATGATGAAAGCAAAATGGACTGGTAAGACAGACACTCATTATGGAATAAGAGTATAGAGACAGCAGAAAGAGTTGAAATTTGAACTATGGATTAAATGACTGGAAGTAGGCAAAAGACATGGAGGAAGCATATGCCAGGCATGTCAATAGGGTAGAAATAAGCTGAGGGGTGCCTGGGTGGCTCAGTTGGTTAAGCATCTGACTTCAGCTCAGGTCATGATCTCAGGGTCCAGGGATCAAGCCCCTGGTCAGGCTCCCCATTCAGTGGGGAATCTGCTTGTCTCTCTTCTTCTGCCCCTTCCCCTGCTTATACTCCCTATCTTTGCCTCTGTCTCTCTCTCAAATAAAATAAAATAAAATAAAAATCTTAAAAAAAAGGAAGCTGAGAGGAGTTCAGGATTCATAAAGGCCAATGAGGCAGTACTTCAGTTAGTAAGAAGATTGGAAGGAGGTGAGGTCCAAGAGTTGGTCAAGGATCAGACTTTACAGGCTGAAGTAAGGAGCTTGGAGTTTGCCTTCAGTGTGTTATGGGAAAGCATTAAGAAATTTTATGCAGAGGAGAGATATTGTAGAATGTATACATTTAAAAAGCTACTCTTGAAGTCTGGTAGTGGTGTGGATAATAGGTTTTGGGAAACAAGAGGGGAAGTTGAGAGAGGGCAAGAGGTAGTGGTGACTTGCACATAGTGATAGCAATGAAGAGAAGTGGACAGAATGGCATGTGTGTTTGAACAACCAGAGGTATTTTATGATGGCGGTGGGGGTGGAGTTTAAGAAATGAGAAAATTTGAGGATGACTACTTATTTTTCCCTTAAAAAACTGGGTGTTGGTGATATACACTTAAATGGAGAAGACAAGAAAGGGGCTGGGTTGCTGTTGGGTGAATCAGGAGTTGAGTTTTGGTCAGGTTAAGTTTGAGAGGACCATTAGATAACCAAGTTAAAACGTCGATGCCTGTCTTCAAGAAATGTATGAAAAGTTCTTGTCTTCTAGTGGCATGTTTTCTGTTCTTTTCATTTTTGAGAGCTTATACTTTTTGTCCTTGTATTTTTATTTTAATCAGGTTTTGAAAGGTAGCATTAAACATGTGTGGTCAATCCATGATTTAAAGTCTTATTCCTAAATTTATATATATATATATATGAAGGGAGAGGGGAGGTAAACTGTGTAGAAATGTTTTAAATTGAAAAATAAAAGTTTTCTACCATAAAAAAAAATGTTGACTAGAAGTTGGATATATGAGTTTAAAGGTGAGGTCGATATGAACTTGAGTGTTTGGTATATAGTTGACATTAAAAGTGGATTAGAGATTACTTAAGGAAAGAGGGAGTGAAGAGATGGGGTCCAGGGAATGAATCCTAGGGCTTCGCATCAGTTAGAAGACTATCAGAGGAGCAAAGAGAAGGACTACCAAGGAGATTGAGAAGGAGTGGACAGTGTGCTATATGGGTTTTAAATCAGAGGGAAAAGAAGGCAGAGAAGTAGTAATCCTAAATTGATCAGCTGACCTGGGAGGGCGTCATAAGCTAGTTCGAGAGGGCAAGAAAAGGAAAGGTACAGTCAACTGTCTGCCCAAGGAGAGCAGAAGTGCCCCATCAAATCGGGGAGTTATCCCTGAATGTTAGGAGAGATACCCTGTGGAAAACATCTCCGTCTAAACATCACACCACCTCTGTGGATTAATCCATAAGACTTAATAGAAAATTCATGCCTTTTGTACAAATAATTTGGGGTATCATGTAGACTTCACTTTAAAAAAAATCCATTGTCATTATAATTTTCAAATTGCTTTTCTGCACCAGGAGCAGAAATGGGAAGTTGAAAAAAAAAAAAAGGAATGAAAATGCAACTGAGACTTCAAGCTTCTAGTTTAAATGTGCATGGCAAACACACCAGGCGTGCACATTTTAAAATAAAACAGATGAGCTATTTTAAATGTTTTATTGCAAAACTTAAAGATTGTAGCTATTACTATCAAAAAAAAACTTTAGAAAGCAATTTTTCTATTCTTTGTACCTTTAAGTCCTTGGCTCTGATGTTCTGCTCCTCTGACCTTGATCTAATCATGAATATCTATGCTACTTAATTATAATAAAAAAAGCCTACATTGCACTC